ATAAGAATTAAAGAACACCAGTAACTATACGGAAAGATCAGAAATAGCAGAAAGTATCGCATTGATTGGTCACAATATCGACTGGAATGCAACTAAAAGACTCGTTGCTAGCGCTAAAAGTACAAGAAAGCACACAAGGAAGCCATGAACATCCTCCTTCAAATGAGCCCAATGAACAGAAGATCGGGAAAGGGAAGAGTCAGCGAGAATTTTGCTTAGTATTTGCATAGGCTTGGGGATATTTGGGGCCCAGAAGAGATAGTAAAAGGCGATGCCTGGTTAAGAGCATATATCGGAAAAATATAAAAAGAAATGAAGAACAACTGGGTTTAGACTTAAGGAAAACATTGCAAAGCTACATTTCTTGATCAGAACTAAGACTAGATTTAGGCAAATCTTGTCCAATGTGCTTAGTTCGGAAGACTTCCTAAAACTACAAAGTATAGCGGATAGTTTACATGACAAGATTTTCCGACAGGTTAGGAAGACACATGATAATTAATTTAGAAATTTGTGTATAAGAATTGGCTTAAGGAAACGACCTACATTTAATGAATTGAAGTGGAAGGATAGTTGTTGCCAAAAAGTGGCAAAAACGTACAGCTTCATCGGACATTCCTACTAAGGAGGTCATAGAAAAGGGCCTAAACTTTGCCGTTCCAAATGATAAGGACTTTATAAAAGAAATTTTGTTAGAATTGATAATATTGTAGGGGGGACTTTCATTTCATATGAAAGTGCATGAAGAAGAGATTTGTGAGTAGATCTGAGCAGAAGAGGACGGCTGAATCACGCTATACTGCAGCCGTTTGGCTTTTATACGACATTCAGGTTGATGCAGTCCACAAGACTTTCTCGTTCGTTTCATGGAGAAAACGGGCTGAGCTTTCGTCCATCATATGATGGATATCAGCAGAGCTGGGTCTCATTCATATAAGAGACTCACGCTAACACTAGGACAAGAAGACTATCCGGCTCTATCTTACCTCTTATATAGACTCAATTGAGCCAAAATAAAATTAAAAACCTTGATAGATAGATATAGAGTGGCTTGGCCCGTTTTCACCCGAAACAAGGGAAGAAGTCTCATAAACTGCGTCAACCTAAACATCGTAAGAAAGCCAAACGGCTGCAGTACAACAGGATTCATTCATCCTCATCTGGTGAGATCGACCAACGAATCTCTTCTTCATGCACTTTCATACTAAATAAAAGTCGCCCCAGCAAAGTTATCTCTGGAGATTCATCGAAACCTAGTTTATCTTCGTATCTATAATTATCTTTCATACTGGTCATGCTATTTTGCTTGAGTGTGTGCGTGTGGTATGTGAGTGTTAGCGTCTATATGCAATACCAGTCCTAAATTAGAGTTATCAAAAGCCGATATCAGGCTATGATCATTTAGACTTAATGACTCAGGAGGAAGCCTTGACCCAGACTGCGTTAGTCCGTGAGCAAGTGTGGTTGAGATAATGAGATATGAGCTTGTAAGCAAGAAAATCAAGTTACGAAACCACTTGTCATAACCTCTCAGTATAGAGTAATTACAGTTTTACTCCCTAAGGAAAAACAATACTGGGGTTGCGTAATCCGGCATGTTTCGTTTGGTTTATGAGCTTAATCTAACATGTTGAATGAGCGTGGGTGCAGTTATAACCATCACCGAGCAGATAAATTATGTCACCTTCTTTTTGACGGTGGCTCAACACCCTCTTTCTTCTTCAATCTACTAATCAAGCACAAGTATGTTAGGGGGACCTTCAGTGATGGTTCTAATTTCAGTCATATTCGCTCAAAATGTTAGAGTAAGCTCTTCAAACAAACCAGACATGTCAGATTACGCAACCACAGTCTTGCCTTTCCTTAGAGGTTTAAACGTTAATGACCCTTGAAGGAAAGGTTAGGACAAGTGGTTTCGTAACTTGATTATCATGCTTGCAAGCTCATATTTCATTATCTCAAACATACTTATTTACGGACCTAGGCAGTCTCGGTCAAAGATTTTCTCTTGGGTTATTAGGTCTTGATGATCATAACCTGAGATAAAACCTTTGACAAAACTGTTTTAGGAATCGTATCGCATATAGACGCTAACACCCACAAATATACATATTCATACACCCGAGCAAATTAACAGGACCAGTATGAAAGATAATTAACCAAACCACTCTATATCGATCTATCTAGGTTTTTAATTGTTAATTTTTTGGCTCAATTGAGTCTATATAAGAATTAAGTTAGAGCCGGATAGTGCTTTTGCTTTAGAGTTAACGAAAGCCTTTTACAAGAATGACACCCAACTCTGATG